GGTGGAAACGACTGTGTTTTCCAGACTTCAGCCAGCTTCTGACCATTTAGAAAGTTTCATCATATCCTGAGGCCACACATAACAGTATATACTTAATGTCTTCAAAATGTATTTAAGAAATGCAGTTATTAAAGTTCACTAATAAATATGAAATAAAATATAGGTACTGTTTTATTTCACTTATTTATTTATTCAGAATTTATTCAGAATTCCTAAGATCTTTGGGGAGACATGGAAGGCAGATACATTCTAACCAAATTTTCAGGTCTATTATTTTGAACATGTGGTTCTGGAGACATTTAGGCACCCCTTCATTTGCTAATGTATAAAGTTTGAAAGACACCCCTTTCCTGGAGTGACCATGGTAAAGATGACACACAGTGTGAGAAATCACGGCACAGGACTAAGCAGGCCACTCCCTTGGTGGTACAGAGTGTGCTAAATCCTTCCGGGTGGGAAACCTCACTTACACTTTTCTGAAGGGGGAATGTGAAGACGAAATGGAAAGGGAAGAAAGAAGGAGGAAAAGATAAAGAAAGTAAGAAAGAAAAGGAAGAGAATAGAGGGAAGGATCAATTAAAAGGAAGTCTGCAATGACTGTACCTGTAAGGATTTCAGCTCCATGTCCTGCCACTGTCTTAATCAGGAGCCTCAGAGTCCCACCCTCCAGCATGAGCATCAGGGTCCCTGAGCCTTCAGACAGCTCTGTGGATAGAAGCAGGCCATCCCTGTTCCACGTTCGAAACTGGAAGCTCACTGACAGTCCGTCCATCTGGGGGGTGCCAGGCAGCAGCAGGCAGCTGCTTCTGGAGCTGACGAACGTGATGGGGACGAGCTGTGGTTCTGAGCAGGAAAATGTGACATTGCCCTGAAAAACAATAAAAAAAAAGCAGACATAGAAAAGCCATTTTTATTCCACAGTCTGACAGTCGGTATAAACATCCACCCAGCGCTGACCTTGATTTCAGGATCATTCCACATTCAGCTTCATGATCTCAAAGGAAAAATATGCTATTTTGACTCAGACAGACTCAGAAGATTGTTTCTTGTTCATGTTTTAAGATCCCAGTGCTATCTGTGAAGGAAGCCTGAGATTTCAAGAAGAGAGAGCAGAAAGAATCTTCTATATTCAAAAAATATAAAAATAATTGCATTAACACCCTGAGAAAAACCATATGGTGAGTCAACCATTTAACAAACTCTGGAATCACATTGAAAGAAATTCACATAGAATAATACTGCTATAAAGAGGAATATGATTAAAAGTGAAATTGATCCTGGCTCCCAAGGAAGAATGACATGAAAAGAAAAAGAGAGATGAAAGATTTTTTTTTTAAAAAAATGATCCTTTCACGAAAATGAGGTGGGCAAGGAGAAGGAGGAGTGTGCTGTGACTGCAATTGTCTGTGAAGAGTACACGGGAAAACCTTTGGGAAATTAGTAAAATGGAGTTGCTGGTGATCAACGGAGAAATTCAAGGAGCCAGAAGGCAGAGCAAATCCTAAGGACAGAAGACAGGAGCAGAGAACAACGCTAAGGTGTTGCTGGCTGGATTTTAAAGTCTGTAAGAATATTTGTAGTTGCATAGAGTAAGGACTGCAGAAGAGAGTTGAACCTGGAAAATACTAAGAATGTATTTGTTGAGGATGCAGCTCATTTTGCTGAATCCTTATCGAGCATGCCCAAAGCCCCTAGTAAATCTCCACCAGATTATGACCTAGGCACAGTGCTGTACACCTATAATCTCTGTGCTCAGGAGGTAGAGGCAGGAGAATCAAAGTTCAGTTTCACCCAGGCCTACTTAGCGAGATTGAGGACAGCCTGACTACATGAGACAAGAAACAAAACAAAACAAAACAAAAGAACCAGTTTTTAACTAAAGTAGAAAAAGAAGAAAACAGATTACTATTTTCATGGACCCTTGTTTATCCAAGTCCACAGAATAAGTTCCAGTTTAGAAGTTATGATAAATTAAAGAATGAATTTCTGTGCTCAACCCCAAATATTGACTGTTTATCTAAAAGAGTAGAGAAGAAAGGCTGGACTACTATTTGAATAGTGGAAAAGGGTTCTTTTGGGAAAGCCATTTGCTGTCTGGTTAACACACTCTACATCCAAACATATCATAGCTTCATTCGCACTACACATCTCCCTTAGGCTCCAGAACTAATCTCCACAGAAATGAGTGACCATCTGCTAATGTCACATCGCATCCCCTACAGATGTGTCCTTCCAAAACTATCGAACTGCAGTTTTTGCATGATAAGATGCAATTTTTCTAAGCTTTCTGTGATGTGGGAAGTCCTTCTGTATATGTGTTGCTTTTATTATTTAATGAATAAAGAAGTTTGATTTGCCTGTGATGGGGCAGAGTAGAGCTAGGAGGGGAAAATTTAACTGAATGCTGGGAGAAAGAAGGCAGAGTCAGGAGACACCACGTAGCCACCAGAAGGGAAAGGCATGAGCTGCATACTGGAACCTTGCCAGTAGGCCACAGGCCTTGTGATAAAATATAAAATAATGGAAATGGGTTAATTCTGGATGTAAGGGCTAGATAGCTGTACACCTAAGCTATTGGCAAAACAATATTGCAAACAACATGGTTTCTGTGTGATTACTTCGGGGCTGAGCAGCCAGAAACAAACAAGCAGCCTCTTACTATATGTCTCCCCAAGCCAACACCATTATGGAAATCAGAAAGAGCTCCTCAGGGGAGGATGCTATCTGGAGCAGCTGCCTGAAATTAATTTCCACCCAGGGTCCATGTGTCAGAAGGAGATACTTAGTGCAGATTAGGAGTCAGTCAGAAGTCTAGGCCACAGCAATACTTTCCAGGAAAAACATTCCCAGGCCTTGGTTTCAGTGAGTAAGTTATTTGCTGTGCAAAAAAGCCAAACTGAATTCAGACCCTCAGAATTCAAATAAAAACCCATGCCTGACAGTGTGCACTTGTAATCCCAAACAAGGAGGTGGATACAGGTGTGTTCTGGATGTTTGCTGACTAGACAATCAATTTACCAAATAGATTATCCCAGCAGACCTCTATACCCTCACTCAGTGCTCCCCAATACACACTTCCTCACCACCATATCTCACCACCCAACTTGCCCAGAGATTACTGTTGTATCGAAAACCAAGCTACCACCCAAAAATCCAGTCCTCAGCTTGGACAGACACTCCATACTGTATCACAGATCATGCCAGCTGCCAGAAATATAGACCACAAAGACCAGAAGACCAAAGAGGAAACCAAAATCAAGGAGCAAAACACCCATTTATTAAAGACAAACTCAAAAAATCAGCACATAGTCATACAATCATCCTACGCTCATATGCCTAAGTGCTGGTTTGAGAACATCCAGAGCATTATGGTACCATCACAACATAGGTATCTTAAGACATTAAGACCTGAATATGCCAAAGCAGCTGTAAAACAAGACAATGCCCTTAAAAATACCTTTATTAATATGATAGAGGTCCTTAAAAAAGGAAATAAAAAAAATCCTTTAAAGAAATTGAGGAAAGCCAGGCATGGGATTACATGCCTTTATTTTCAACACTCCTGAGGCAGAGGCAGGTGTAACTCTGTGAATGTGAAGCCAGCCTGGTTCACAAAGAGAGTTACAGGATAGCTTGGGTTCTGTTACACAACCTGTCTTGAAAAATCAATAAAAAAAAATCAATAAATGTCTTACAGAATACCAAGAAAGTCAAGAAAAAAAAGGAAAAAATAAACAAGTGAAGCCAAATGTTCAAGATCTGAAAGTGAAAATAAAAGCAAAAAATAAAAAATAAAAACCACATACTGAATGAATAATGGTACTGAAAAATCCAGGTAAGTGAGCAGGGACTACAGACAAAAGCATCATCACCAGAGATGGAAGAGAACATAGAACATCACAGGAGTTGAAGATGCTTTAGACGAAATAGATTCATTGTTCAAAAATTCTTAACACAAAATATCTAGGAAATTTTGGGCCCTATGCAAAGACAAAACCTATAAATAGGAATAGAAGAGAAATTCAAGCTCAAAAATCTAGAAAATATATTTAATGAAATCTTAGATGATTTTCTTAACATAAATCAGGATACATGTATAAAGGTAAAAGAAGGTATAGAATACCAAATAGATTATGCCCAGAAAAGAAAATCCATGTGCCACATAGTAATCAAAACACTAATCATACAAAACAAAGAAGCAATATTAAAAGCTGCAAGGGAAAAAGGTCAAATAACATAAAAGCAGACTTAATAAAAATACACCCAACTTTTCGATGGAGACTCTGAAAGCCAGAAAGGTCTGGACAGATGCCTTGCAGACTACAAGAGACTACAGATGAAAGCACAGAGGGCTATACCCAGAAAAACATTCAATCCCCTTAGATGAAAACGAGATATTTCATGACAAAGTCAAATTTGAATAATATATCCATAAATCCATTCCTACATAAGGTACTAGAAGGAAAACTCCAACCCAAGGATGTTAACTACTTCCATGAAAGCAAAAGAAATAGATAATGTCATACTAACAAAAGCCAAAGAATGAAAACACACATACACACACACACACACACACACACACACACACTACCTCTACCATCAACAGCAACAAAATAACAGGAATTCACAATCACTGGTCTTTAATATCTCTCAATATATCTACTTAATTTCTCCAAACAAAAGACACATGCTAAGGGAATGAGTATGAAATCTTGATACATCATTTTGCTGCATATTCAAACACACTTCAACATCAATGGTAGGTAATGTCTCAGAGTACAGATTTAGAAAAACATTTTGCAAGCAAATGAACCCCAAAAGCAAGTTAGTACAGCTATTCTAATATCTAACAAAATGGACTTTAAATCAAAATTATTCAGAAGAGTTGTAAATGGATACTTCATTCTCATCAAAGGCAAAATCCATCAAGATGGTATCTAAATTCTGAACATCTATGCCCCAAGCACAATATCACCCCTATTTGTTAAAAAAAAAAAATAAGGCAGGGCGGTAGTGGTGCATGCCTTTAATACAAGCACTTGGGAGGCAGAGGAAGGCGGATCTCTGTGAGTTAGAGGCCAATCTGGTGTATGAGAGCTAGTTCCAGGACAGGCTCCAATACTACAGAGAAACCCTGCTTTGAAAAATCAATAAAAAAATAAAAATTACTAAGTCATAAATCAGACATCAATCTACACACATTAACATTGGGAGACTTCAACACCCTCAACACCCCACTCTCATCAATGGACAGGCCATTTAGACAAAACTAAACAGAGAAACAATGGTGCTAACAGATGTTATGAATTGAGTTGACCTTACAGACATCTACAAATATTTCACCCAAACACAAAAGAATATAGCTTCTTCTTAATGCCTTAGGCAAGATTCTCCAAAATTGACCATATACCTGGTCTCTCTCTCTCTCTCTCTCTCTCTCTCTCTCTCTCTCTCTCTCAACAAATAAAGGAAAATTGAGATAACCTCCTGTATACTTTCAGTCTATGGATTAAAGCTAGATTTTAAAAACAGCAAAAACAACAGAAAGCCTAAAGACTCATGATCAACTCCCTACTGAACGACAATTAAGTCAAAGCAGAAATAAGAAAGCAATTAAAGACTTCCTAGATTTCAATGAAAATGAACACAAAGCATACCCAAACTTGTAGGAGAAAGTGAAAGCTGTGCTAAGAAGAAAACTCATAGCACTAAGTGCCTACATAAAGAAATTGTAGGGATCTCATACTAGAAACATTAGAACACAGCTAAAAATCTGAAACAAAACAAAACGAAACAAAAAACCAAGCATACCCAAGAGAAGTAAATGGCAGCAAATAATCAAACAGAACTGAAATCAATAAATTAGAA